ATGGAACACAGGAGGAGCATTTAGTTAACATGTGAGCAGGAATCCAAGGGAGAAAAACAGACAGGCAAATCCTGATGCTCCAACTATTTCTCCCCTTCCCATCCTGTTTGGCTTCTCTTTTGATATTGTTTGAGTACAATTGATCTTGGAAGGGTCTGTGTTCTTATAGGCTAGTTACAAATGAGCAAATGCAGACGATCAGTAATTACACACACACAACCCGCTCTTCCCAGGCGGTTCTGCTCAGCATCTTTTAGGAAAGGAATTCCAAATATTCCAATTGATCCCTGTTCCTCCCCTGGTACCCTTCTTGTACCAGGACCATATCTGGAAGGAAGGCTGCTATACTGCCCTGACACTCATGGCTTTTCTCATGCTGACCATATCAGAAAATAGACTTTCAACATATAATTGGCTAGTACAGCTCTTGAGTGATAATTTTTCAGCTCTAATTTATCTGCAGTTCTAAGAGTGATGAGATTTCTTTTAAAAATAAAGAGGCATACAGTAAAGAGCCAGCAACTTACAGAAGAAGGTCTCTGTTTAGGAAGAAAGAGCTGAGCTGAGCTGGAGTCTGTTCTTCTCCAGCACCCCTCTTCTCGTACTTACCAGTAGTGGAAATACTGGCCAGAGCCTGCTTGGAGATATCCTGACCATTGTTGGAAGGCTGGTGTTTCAGACAATCCTGGGAGAGAAGAGATGAGATCTGGTGCGTACTGCCCTGAGCAGAGTCCAAGGATGGCGCAGAAGACGGCCCACCAGCTGCCCACCATCCTGAAGCTATGGCGCAGGCTAGACTCCGAGCCATCTTATATCATGTTCCTCCTGTTTGCTCACTTAATTTGAAAAAAAAGCCCAATCCTTTGTCAATAATGGAAAGCAAAACATGCTTGCAGCTTGTTTTGAAGGAGGCCTGGAATGTCACCTTCGTCTTGTTTGCCTAACAAAACCCAAGTTCTGACTGACCAGTTTTTAAAAAGAAATCAGACAAATTTTAGGCATGAAAGTGTCAGGAATCTGCAGCAATTAAAATCTTCAAATATAGTATTTCTGAAAGTCACAAATATTAATAAAAAATAATCATACCCCATATAAAACATCTAAACTTGAGACCTCCTAATTTACCTTAATTTGGCCGGAACAGTTGCTAAAACATACATATTTCCAAGGATTAGTTTTCCATTTGTGACCATTCCTGTTTTCCTCTAAGTATGTATGCTTAAAAAATTATAAAAGAGAGTGCTTGAAGAGATGAGATACAAAAGGCTAAATGAGCATATAGTATTGATCCGATTTCTACCCTAATGACCCTGATCCAGTCCTGGTAGCCAGGTCGCTGGTGACCTTGGTCTCAAGTTGTTGCTGATAAATGCCAGGTTTGTCTGCAGTAAGGCCACATTCACACGCAACCTAGTTGTGGATGAACAGGTAGCCCTGGTGTGTATTGCATATTACTGAAATGTGATCAAGTGTAGCTTGAAGATGTAGCCCTGTCAGAAGTCTGCGCTCTTGGTTTCGGGTCCTTGAGCTTGATGCCAAGCTGGGGAAAGCTGTGTATGACACTGATCTTACAAGACACCTTATTTGTGACCAGAAGCTCTGCTCTAGAGATGATGGTACAAATGCCTGCACGTTAAAGTGACAAGCTGTGTATCCTTCTGGCGTACCAGTTACCCTGCTGCCCAGTTGGTTTCTTCTCCCAAGTTCCTTGAACTAATTTCTGGGCTGGTGCTGGAGTCCCTTTTGATGTTGGGTAACATTTGCTGGCTCTGGAAGTTGGGTCAGAAAAGAGTTGGAAATTTATGAATTATATGGAAATCATAGGCTTGTCCCAAGTTATTTCTGATCTGATATAGGCAGGTGGACATACACCTGACCTTACAGTATTTTCATCCCTGAACTTTGTGATCTGGATATGGAGAGCTCCAATTGAGACTTCTTAAAGTAGTCCACCCCAGGGGTTGGTGGATCCTGGAGGTTTCTGGAAGACACATGGGAGTTTCCCAGTGACCTAATAGGTAGTTCTGCTGATTGCCTAGTTACCACCTGGCAACAGGCAGGGACTCAGGCTCTTTATTCTTTATTTTCTTATGGATGTTTCAGTCAATACAATTGTTTTAATTTTGTAAACTGCTGAGACTTGTTGACATGTGACAGTTTATACAATAAACAAATAAATGTTCATCTATAAAAAGTGGGCTGGGAAGCATCCCCAACGTGAAGCTTTGCCATAAGGCATCTCAGGTAAGTGAATCAAGTTTTCACCTGATCACCACCGTGTTGCTCTGAATCAAATATTTCCTCTCCCATCAGCCCCCAGTATAGGTAGACCTCGCTTAGCGACTGCCCTGTTTAATGACCATTTGAAGTTAGGACAGCGCTGAAAAAGTAACTTTTATGACAGATCCTCGCGTTTATGACCATTGCAGTGTTCCCACGGTCACTTCATCAAGAATCAGACTCTTTGCAACCAGTGGGCACTTATGACTGTCACAGTGTCCTGTGGTCACGTGATCACCATTTGAGTGTTTCATAGCCAGTTTCCAACAAGCAGAGTCAATGGAGAAGCAGGCAGTAAAATCACACGTCGTGATCACGTGTCTCACTTAACAGTGATTCACTTAATGACACAGCAGAAATGAGGTTGTAAGTCCGTCACGGTGACATGTTTTGTTTAACGACTGCATTGCTTAGCGACAGAGTTGCCAGTCCCAGTTGTGGTGTCAAGTCCATAATGTCCAACTCCCAGTTCTGAAGCATTCTCACGCAACCAGGCTTGGTTTAGAAAAATACTTCTTTATTACGTGGTACATGTAGCTTGTAAACAGAACATTGCTAAAACTAAAGCCTTGGGTAAACTTCCCCCTCTTCCCTCTATTTATCCCCCCTCCCCTTATTACCTGGCGTCTCGATTCCTCTTCACCTGGTGTTGACCTCTCTCCTTCCTCCCCCTCCTACCCGAGCTCTTCCTGGCCCTTTTGGCCCCCGCCGCCTTGCCC